CCAACTAATGAATGCTGATGTAGAAAATATTTCAAGCTTACTTTTTGAAAAGACATTTCCATCAATCTTATCTATATAGATGATTTGCTTATTTTCGGCAAAGCCAAAACTAAGCCATTGGATACCATTTATAAAATATAAATTGTTAGATCAATTTTATATTAGTAATAAGCAATGGCTAAGTCTGTCCATAACTCTTTTTATATAAGTGAGATCCTTAACATCAAATGCACTACTCTCCCCCTTTAAATTATATATGGATTGCACTCTTCTGCTTGATATGATAGCTCACTGGCTCTTTTGTTGAAAGCAAAAACCATTATCATATGCAGGAAAGCTCCAATTTATCAAATCTGTCATTTGAAAACATTTAGTTTGCTAGTTTAGATATTTAATCATTCATAAATATGCCATGAATACAATTGGCAGTTATTGCTCCAGATTTATCGTTTTCAGTGAAATTTCTCATAAAGTCCACAATATTTCTTAGCAACAAGCTGCTATGCCAAATCTAAAGGTTCCTTGGGATTTCCATGCCCTTCCATCCATAATCTCAACTATAAGATGAAAAACATTTGGAGAATTATTCATAAGTTCAATATCTTGAGCTCTTAGAATACCTTATATGGTTCCATTAGGATCAAGTAAAATGGTAAAATCTCTTCTTTTTTTTTTAAGGAGCTTAAATATGTTGCCTCCCAAATGTGTAGAAAACTTACATATAAGAATGACTCTTAAAAGTTATTGTCTTCATATCGTTGACAATTGGCTAAACATATACTGTTTTGAAAGCTAGGGGATCTCGAATATACACATTCCCAATCCCTAACAAAATTCTAAAACTAATTGCCTTAATGCTATTAGCTACATTATCATTTCTCAGAAAGATGATGTAGTTCTCTGACATGAAAACAAGAACTTTGCATTACATGCTCCGATGCTCGAAAGACAGCTATCTATTTGAATATCCAATGTATTAATTGGACAAAATTTGTTTTGGCTCAGAGGGATTGTTTTGGGGTACTAAATTTACACATGGATGGCAAGCTTGAATGCTCTTCAAATGATTGATGTGATGGCTATATGAGGTTATATATCAACAAATCATGTGGCTTATCAAGAATGACAATTGCAGTGGCCAAAACTTTCTTTTATGAAGCCTAAATGATACAAATTTTAGGGCATAGTTACTTTTCCACAATTATAAATGCTTCAAGAAATTATATCTTCTAACTAATACGATTCTCTTAAATAACCTTTGTATGGAGAGAAATACTTGTGTTAATACTTTGTATGCTTGAAAATTTATTGTTAAAGATCAAACACTATGTGAACCTCAAACATAAAGCAATCCAGCTTGGTTGCCTAAGATAAATGCATACATACCTGGTGAATTGAATACCCATTAGTTGCCTTTATTTTATTTCTTTTCACAGTCTACTATCAACAATTTCTAGTTTATTGTTGGTTCAGTTCTCTTTTTGTTTTTTGGCTCCCAGGCCTCCACATTGCATGTTCTTTGTGTGTTTGCATTTAAAATTCTTCCATCTTTGGTTTTCCTATCGGTTATGTGATTTTTATATTTTCACTTATGGCAGAGAACATTTATTGGATGGTGGATTTTTTGTTCTTATATGAGACTATCATGTGAATTACCATTTCCCTTAACATATCTGCATGTTGTTGAGAATACGTCATGCAAGCATTTTGTTATCAGTCAATGTGGCAATTATTTTGAAAATTTATGAATGGATTTTGGACTTTTGGGCGGCTTGGATGTTAACAATGATGTCAAGCATTCCAATGTTGGCCATCCAACTCCCCTACCTAACTAGGGTTTCTTTTTTTCATAAGTTCGATAGGAGCAACCTAGCCTTCAAGGTTTAGTCGCGAGCCAAGGAATTTGATTCTTAGCTACAATTTATCTAGAACAAATTCTCAGGCATAAACAAGGTCCTTTAAATCATTATTTTGGCTCATGGTTTGGCCTATTACTTGATCTCTTCGAGTATCATCTAGCCATAGCATAGCTAGGTATTTCTTATACGTTCTAATAAGATAAATTTACTGAACTATGGCTCTCTCACTACTCCCAAGAAAAGATATTTGCAGCCCGTCAGCATTTATAAAAAATCTATCAAAGTTGACGCGTTTATGTAAGAGAGCACTGAAAATTTTTTAGATCATAATAGGCCCACACTAGCTCTAATATATAGATAAAGTCAGAAAGGCAAGCAAGCATTGAATAGAATTTTTCAAATGATGAATAAAATGCAGATAATAGAAAAATGACAAAAAAGTAAGTGTTGGATGTGAAATATCTTAATAGCCTGTTTTCTCCAATGTAGCACAACTGCTAGAATATTTTCAGTTGAACCAACAACTAAAACAAATTGAGAAACCCAATCAAAATGTGTAACTGGTTAACCCCGACCAGTCAAGTCATCAAAAGCAAAAAATCATAGTACGTGGGTAAAACCAATACCATTTCTAAGACAACATTAAAAGTATGCTTAGTTCATCTTATGATTCAAAGCATCAGTGAAAAATCTAGCAAAAAGTGTCAATACAGCAATAAGAAGCAAAATAAAATAATTGCTAGTATGAATAAAAGTAGTATTTCAATGCCACAATTAACCTGCACACATTAGACAAGAACGAACCTCGTTAATAGCAAGGACTTGGCCGTTACTTTTCTTCACCTTCTTCAGTTTTCTCAGGAAGTACCTATTACAATGATGGACGAGAACAAGATCAATACAAAAATTATTAAATGTAGACAAAAGTTTAAAAATACAAGGCGGGTCTTCCTACCAGAACTTGGATTTTGCCCGGACTTCATTAGTAGCCCACAGCTTCATGCGATAAATCTTTGGATGCTCATCGCTTGGGGTTGGAAGGGCACGACCAACCACTTGGTACTGATGAAACTGCCGAAATCAAGAGCAAATAGATAATTTTATAATCCAAAAATCAGCATACACCGCAAAAAAAAAATTGTTGATGAACATAAAGATTAAACACTTTTAGGGCAGGAGGCCAACTCAAAAAATTTCGAGTGGAATAGAAGAGAAAGAAGGGTGATTGCTACTAATTTACCCTAGCTTACCCTGAAAACGGCCATTGATCCTCTGAGATTCGTTGATCGAAGCACGCGCAACCGAAGCAGCCACGAAGAAATGTCGGCGAGTAAAACCCAAGAAGCGAAAAGCAAACCCTAGACGGCCTACTAATTTATATAATTTAAGTATTAATAATTAATTATATTAATTATATAATATGTAGCATAATTGAGTAATCTAATTTAATTAATTTAATAATTAGTAGCACGATTGTCATTAAATTAGTTTAATTAACATTTGTAATTTGTTTGTTATTATAGTTATTAGTAGTATGATTGTCATTAAATTAATTTAATACTTAAATTATTAATTACATCATTAATATGAGTATTAATTAAATAAATTATAATTTTAAAAATTATTTATTTATTTATTTAGAATTTAAGAATATGATGATATAATAAGTAATCTGATAATTAACACTAAAATAATTAATTTGCTAATTAGTAATAATTAAGTTGGTTTTAAATTATATTATTTAGTATTATAACTTATTAAAGGTAATTAAAATTAAAGTTAATAAGAAACTCATAGTTAACAAGCAATTTAAATTCAAAGCGCGTTAAATTTAATTTATAAATCAACGAATTGCCTTAAATTGAGATTTACATTGATATATAATTTCTTATGATTAATGAGGATTTAATCATACCAAACGATTTTCAAGATTTAACACCCTCATAATTTATTAAATTCAGATTTAATATTTACTAAATCCCATTAAAGCTAAATCATACTTGTTGCCAAACACCCCTAGGCTTTATTTGGAAGAGTTTATATTCCATTAATTGTTTTTTAATAAGATTTAGTTTTGATTTTGAAGATTGTTGGTTATTGAAATCAAGACTCATTCACATTTTCTATTATTTGTTGGTACAAAGCTCAATAAGTATTTACACTTGGTGAACACATGTTTTGGACAATTTTGAGTGTAATGCATTTGAAATGTGGGGGTTTTTAGTTTTGCATTGTTTTTTTAGAAGTAAAGTAAATTAATATTTTTTAGGAGATTGAAACTCACCTAATAAGTTATTTTTAGTGTATTCAAAATTAAACAAAATAGAGTATTTGGAGTACAATGCATCATGAAGCGCTTCATTCATATCAACCCCACCTCTGCCTTTGGTTATTCACCACAAACAGGCTCGCTACTATGCATAAAACACTCCTATCGTTACCTCACATTTGCCTCTGCCATTACCTATGAGTCCTCAACATACTCAAGAACTTTGTGTCTTGACAAAAGAAGTTATTAGAAAGGCTAAAATTTTGATTCACTTTACGATAATCTAAACATTAGAAAGTAATAATCTTCTGATTGATTCACCCAACTTCAACACTTACATATAAAAAAAGATTCACTTTAAAGCAATCAAAACATTAAATAGAGTGGTTCACATACGTATTATAAAGTAATTATGTATTTATTTATAATATTTAACTATAAATTTTAATATATATATAATATGCCTCAATCCCTATTTTTTATCAAAGATATATTAATAATTAACTTATTTAAAACAAAAGATAATATTTTATGCACATATTTTGATGTCATTTAGGTTTAGCATGGTACATTTATATAAATAGAAAAAATTAAATGTTATATATGTAAATATACAAGAATTTAATGAAATATGTGTAAATACTCAAATTAAAAATTTGTTCACAATTAATCAACATTAACAGATATTTTCAAATGCATTGAGTTATTTTATTTTATATTTAGAATGCATATGAATTTTAATATTACAACAATTATTCATAATTATTATAAAATAATAGAAATAGTATTTATATGACAATGGGAGAGCAATGGTTTAATCGGAGGAAAAGAAATTGCTTAAATTTCTTCTACAAAAAGGAAGTGTTGGCCTGTCTTCAGCCTATAGGCTTCTAACCCGCGTTTCATCTCTTCTTCCAAAAAAGCAAGGGGTGGGCTGATGGCGCTGTTGATGGCCGCGGGCTCGGAGCCCCAAACCGATAGAGAAAGGGAGGACTTGGATGCCATTGCTGCCCTCAAGGAGTCTGCTGCGATAGAACTCAAGGTGAATCTCCTTCTCCTGGATGTCTTGTGCATCCGTACCGTTAAAACAAAAGGCGGTTTTTTTAGATGTTTGTTTCACAAATCAATCGCGTTCCGAGTACAGGAGCAGGGCAACAAGTATGTGAAGATGGGGAAGAAGCATTACTCGGATGCTATCGATTGCTATAGCAGGGCAATCAGTCAGAATTCCTTGAGCGATTCAGATCAGTCGGTCCTTTTTTCAAATCGCGCCCATGTGAATTTGATGTTAGGAAATTACAGAAGAGCTATTTCAGACGCGGAAGAGGCGATCAAACTCTGCTCAACCAATGTTAAGGTAGATATTCTACTTCAATTTCTTACAAGGCCTCATTTGGTTGCTTGGAATTTGAATTTATGTTTTCACTCGTTTGGACTGCGAAAAATGTAATATGTGACTTTTGCTGGAGTTATAGGGAGGTTTTTAGTGTTTGAAATTAATTTTAGTTTCTAATTCTATCAAACCAAATGATGCATTCTTTATTGTTTTGAAAAACCTGTTTTGGAATTTCAAGCATCCACATGAGCTGTAACTGCTAGATTTGTCTGTGAATGAAACCTGGATCTTACTAGTAGGACTGCAAGGTTATTAGCAGAACTAAAAAAAGAGAAAGAGAGAGGCAAAAGATCTTTAGATAAATAAATGAGATCGAAGAGGGAGAATCTCAAAGGATTTTATTGTTAAAATGATCAAAATAACGTGATCTATCGGTCTACTTAAATGACCTTATGATCACATATTTATAGGGTTTGTGCACTCTAAGGAAAGTTAATTAAAGAAGAATATATTTCATTGCATAAGACAGCTAGTCTAAAATATAGATAGGACATATATAAGAAGTACATGTGAATAACTATTGATCAGAGCTTCATCTTGAAGGTTGGAATTCCTGATTGTTATTATCCAGCCGTCGACTCGCTTGAAGAATTAGCCAATTTGATGGGCTGACTTGTTAGATGAAAATGCTTTCGGGATGAAGTGACCAATACGTTGGTTGAAGTTGCTATTGTGCCGGATAAAGTTGTCAACTTGCTGGGTAGCTAGCATGCTATATGGCTGACTTTTTGTGTGACCGACTTGGCAAGGAAGTTGCCACATTGTTGACTTATTCGAAATATGTTTCTTATGATCGAGTTGTTCTCCAGTGTCTTGGATTGTTTTGACTTTATTATAACTGAGCTATTGAGGTGTTTATCTCTACATTTAAATGATTTAATTTTCCGATTCTCTTGTATTTTTCAGAAAGCAACTTGCAAAATGTTCATGAGAATGAACGGAACAAAATATCGAATTAGCAATTAAATGGTAAAATAATCATTGCGATTTGACATTTATTGATTTTCACTCAAAGAAGATTTTTGGAAGCTTTCAAAGCTAATCTATATGCACCTTTCTTTCTATTAGGCCATGGATCATATTTCAAAAATTTATGCAAGAGATCTTGCTATGTAGCTAGTGCAAAAGAATAAATATAGGTAGGATAGCAGGGAATTTGAGGAGACTTCTTCTCCTTCCTTGAAAAAAAGAAGAAGTAGATGAGAGTGGAAAGAAAATTTTAGTTGAATTTACTACTCAAGTAAATTCTCAAAATATCTCTCCCAACAACAGAGGGTGACAGTGGTTTCTCTAAGCAAAGTTCTACTTGTTCTACTTGGATGGAGGCAATAAAAAAGATTTTAAAATTTGCTCCTATCGCATCTGATCAACTCGAAGGCGATCAAATCGTCGATTTACCAACTCACATTGTATTTAGATAGCCAAAAAATTAGTTTTGGAATAAGAAGTAGAGCTAGGAAACTTATAGAGTTGTAGACTAAGGCTGCGACGATTTCAGCTCTTGACTTTGAAATTATGAAGAAAGCACTTGCCGACTTCCAAGCTAAGTTCGATGCTACAAAAATGAATACAACAAAGAAGATTATTGAAATTTAAATGTTTGGTGAATCTGAGAATATTCTCTTTAAGGATTTGTTGGAGAGATTTGTGAGATTGACTAGTCATATAACAACCATTTCTACCGAGGTTGCCCCTGACATCAGGATAGGTTCAATAATTTGAAGGCCGAGGTATTTATGCTGTGAAAAAGTGTGATTTCTTCACATTGGATATATTTATTGGGGGTGTTGAATTCTTGTTTCAATATCTTATTTTTCAAGGCTTAGGCTTCGTTTGGGACGGCTTTCTTTCTATTTCTTAAAGCAGATTATTAGAAAGCTGCTTCAAGAAGCAGTAAAAAAGTCGTCCCAAACGAAGCCTTAGTTGCCAAAAAGCTGCTTTTTGATCCTGTTGTGCAAGCTATATTGGGAGAAGTGCTTCTTCCTTGAGTTTCGAATTAAAAAATGTACTGGCAACTGGTACTCCCCATGTTTGAATTGCTTGTAATAGTGTTTCATTAATAATATTTTATCTGTTTATTGTGGAATGATATGATATTCTAGTTAATTCAAATATACTCTAATCATTTAGAATTATGATGATTTGACTTCCAGCAATATGACAGCGAAAGGCTCTAGAAATAGTTCCATGCGCATTTCATTGTAACATTTTCCTATCAAGACTTTCTACTTTCTCCTCAACTTCTTCTAATTCTTTATTCATTTTACAAAACGTTGCAAGCTTTCTCAGTTGCGCTGACAACTTCTAGACTTCTAATTGAGAATGCACTTCACTAGTTTCTCACTACAACTTTAAGTTGTTTGTATGAGAATGCATGATTGGAGAAGGTTTCGCTATCCGAGTTCCAAAAGCAGGAGAGTTTACTGATTTCGTGCAAGAGGACAAGCTGTATTTTTGCAAAGATCAATTTTGCCTCAGATTGCAGCTTCCTTTCCTCCCAATGATTGCAACAATCATTCATTACAATGCCTTGGTATTTGCATAAATTATGCCCAACTCACTGGCAAGGATGGTCACATTCATCATTTAACTGCAAGAACAATGGATAAAATGGTGGCAACTTCCATCGCTACAAGGAATTCAAGAAGACGTTAAGGAAATGATGATGGGATGTCGGCAATTAGCTAGGATAAAGAAGGGAGAATATTTGTTGATGTGGATGTCCACCCCTTGCTTCCAACATATGGATTACATTCTAGAGCGTATGACCTCGATCTTGCTGTATGCTCGAAATAGATGTATGAACATTTAGAAAAGATGCTGACAATTGCACATGTCAGTCATCAGGTGATTTGTATCCTCTTGGTAGAGCACATTTTATTTGATGAACTCGCAAAATACACTTATTTAGACTTATATTACTTTAATTGGCGAGACGGAGCAACTTGTGAAGGAGAACCAAGCTTTGAATTAGTTAATTTTAGCTGAACAAGTATCTAATAGTTATATGAAAGATCTTAAGAAGAAGGTTGTCTAGGACATGAATGCTTGTAAGGAAGATATGAAAATAAATATGGCAGACATTCAATTTTCTGATAATCAAAAAGTTGTTGAGTTACAAAGTAAAATAAGTGTCTTAGAATCTTCTCTCACTGAGTCAAAATTCTCTAAAAAAAGAATTGCTCAATCCTTTTATTCGGCGCAACTACGAATTATCGAATTGGACGATCACTGGAAAAATTGAACTCGTATCAAGCCTTGACTTCCCAAGCTCTTGCTCATGCAGAGTTCCTTAGTTTTGCTATAGATAAAGATAAATTGATGAGCAAATTTTAAGATTGTATACTTTTCTACTTGGATGACTTGGTCGACCAAAGCATGATAAATTACGTGTTACACAATTTGAGCTTGTTTTATGAAATCACTAACAGATTTTTGCAAGGGTGAAGAGAAGCCAAATTGTGAAGACCATGAAAATTTTCCAAAAAGTCATTCATCTAAGTGAGCTACCTTCATTGTTTCCTTACATTTATTTTTTGTCAAATTCGATGTAATTATAATTAGGCTTTTTTGTAAATAAAATAAATAATTATATTTTTTAATGCAATATTCATTTTCTTTGATATCAATACTTGTTTTTGAATGATTTAACTTGAATGATTCCACCATCATTTTGTAAAATGATTTGAAGATAACTGGACAAATATAATGAAGATCGAAGTGATTAAATCAATTTGTCGAGTGTAATGAATTTTGGAAGTTATTTCGCCGAAGAAAAATAATAAGTTATATGATCTAATATAATTTCCTTTTCTCTCATTATTATTAGATTTCAATTGTTTTCTTAGATGGGCCTTATCTCATGTCATATCTTTCTGGAGGTAACCATCTTAGACTTGCCGACTAGAATAAACTTTCTTAACTCAATACAATCTTATCACAAAGAGGAGAGTCTGATTTTAGGCACAAACCTTTCGTCCCTTGACACCATTAGGAATTTAGTTAATTAATGATAATTCCATCGAATCGAAGTTGTTGGATGATAAATTCCACCCCACTAAGTGTAATTATATAATAAATAATTTTCAAAAATATATATCATGGAGTAAGTAGGCGAGTTTTCATATGCATTGAGGTATTACTCCAATAGATTTGCCATAAGCTCTGAGTTATTGAACTCCAATAGGCGAGTTGCCATAAGCGCCTTGTTATTCAACTCTGATATGCAATTTGTTGTATGCGTTGAGTCATTGAACTCCAATAGGCAATTTATTTTAACTTGTAAGCGCCGAGTTATTCAACTCCAATAGGCAAATTTTTGTAGTCATATGGTTATTCAACTCCAATGAAAGAATTGTTGTCCTGGTCGGGTTATTGAACTTCAATGGATGAATTATTATAGCGATTTCAATTTTATCCCGACGAGCTTTGATGAATTTGATGATTTCCATCACCTTAAGAATTTTGTCCTGAAAAATATAATTTTATAAGATTTTTCCCAAGTGAAATTTAAAGGTTGCATAAATATTTATTTTAATGAGCTAGTTAGATGTGATTTTTCCTCATTATGAAACTTAACCATGGAATCAAGTCTAAATGTCAACTTTGTTGTGCACAAACTATCCATCTACTTGGGGGCCTTGACTCTCTCCTATTGTGAATAATCTTGCATCTATTAGAAGACTCTATGTTAAGATCATTTTGATCGCAAACATGAGTTAGTTTTTACTTTACATAATTGATTGTTTGTTTAAGAAATAAGTTTCACCAACTTTGATTCAAATTACTAATGTACAGACTAATTTAAAGTTTGTTGGCTTCAAATTTGAAAATCAACATTGAGTTTCTAGATCTAATTCTTGATATATAATCATTCGATTGTGTGTTTGGACTTTCAAATTGATGTGATATCTTATTTAACACATTGGACGAATTTGTTGAGTAATTGTCGAGATCTGAGAATGAGTTCCCTAAGTTATCATCAATATTGAAGAATGAGTTCCTTGAGTATTAGATTTGAATGCAAATTCTGGATTTTTTTGTGCTTATGGATCTCCATGTGTTAATTCTTTCACATTGCCTGATTTTTTATCACTAATATCAATTCACTCTTATCGCTTTTTTTCAGATGCTGGATTTAGATTTGTTTGTATATGACACCTGAACCTTACTTGTAAGACCGCTTGGCAATTAGTAGAACTCAGAAGAGAAAGGAAGAGCAAAAGATCTTAGAGAAATGAACTCAAAGAGAGAAAAGCTCTTGGGATTTTATTGCTAAAATGATCAGAATAACATAATCTCTCGATCTCCCAAAATGACCCTATGACTCCGAATTTTTAGGAATTTGGGCGCTATAGGGAAAGCTATTTAAAAAATAATACATTTGATTACATAAGGTATGTAGCCTAAAATGTAGCTTAGACATATAAAAGTACGTTTGGATAACTGCTGACCAGAACTTCATCTTAAATGCTTGAATCTTTCATTGATATTATCCAATTGCTGATTTGCTGGAAGGAGTTGTCGACTACCAGTTGAAGTTGTGGCTTACTGGATGAAGTCATTGACTTGTTGGATGAAGTCGCTGTCCTACTGAGCTGACTTGCAAGGCAGCGGACATGTTGTATGACGGATTTTTAGCATGACCAACTTGTTGAGTGAAGTCATCACATTTGTTGACTTATCTAAAAGACATTTATCATGAGCAAGTTGTTCATCAAAGGCTTGGATCGATTCTATTTTACTTGAACCAGACTCTTGAGATATTTGGGTGCACACATAGCTCATCGCATCGAATTGAAATGCTTAAACTTATTAGCCCATAATAATTTGCCTGTGATTCAAACATATATGCATGTGTTGCAAAATACACCAGCATACTATTTTAATATGTTTTTTATTGTTATATATTTATGTGTCCATCACTCGAATAGCATTACTTAAGCCCATGGCCACATCGGAGATGGCAGTAGTATTGACATGATGAACAAATTGCTCTTTTGAAGCATCTAAAGTCAGGTCATCTTGATTATAACTTATCTAATCTATCAGCTAGAAAGTTGTTTTTTTACATAGATGTATGAATCTGAGGATTTATTTCGGGTAAATTAAGTAGGGGAGATGAGCAACTTTTGTAGTCAACTGAGACTTACAAACTGCACTGAAATCATTTTTAGGCTTCTGGTTTTGGTATGAGATCCGTAAGCATTATCACATGCTCTGAGCTTTTACATTTTGGAAATCCTTTAAGATTGAATTAACTTCTGTATTATAACTCATTGAGTATGATTTTAGATATAACTCGTTGCATAGAAAGTGGTTAAAATAATTGTTGCTAGTAGCTGGATAGAAATGATGATACTTCAAAGAGAAACTTTGTATTGGATATGCTTTTCCATCTACAGGCTTCATAAGACAGAAGTTGATTTTGTATGAAGTAATTCACTGATGAAAATTATGTAAGTTTTCACCATTTGGTGTTTCCACCTTCCAGGGATTGTAAAGAATTATACATTTTTATGAAATAAGTTGTTTACTCTGTAGAAAAGTAAACATGTTATATAAAACAAATTACCGGAACCTTCTAAAATTTAAAACCGTAGCACTTTTTATGTCAAATTATTAAGACTCTTTCTTGACCTCAATATGTAAAGATAATCTTCATAAGTAGTGTTATAGTCCCCAACCACGAATCAAGTGACTGAGTGGAATTAATCCTTGGGCTACTGATGAGGTCATCGATCAACGGTTCAGACACGTGTATCGCCGGAAGCATCGCCGATCGATGGCCACGATTCAGAGCTTATATTTTTAGTTATTCATGCATTTTCAGTTTTCAGTATTCCTGTTTTACCCTTGTGTGTGAGTGAGTTATGTTGGGGCCCCGAGGGCGATTTAGTCAATTGTTGTGCTTTTTATTTACTTGTATCCCATGACCTATATATAGGGGTCATATATCATTGTACGAGGGGAATGAATATTTGAATGAAATTTTATGTTATCTTCTTCTTCTTGCATGAGGGCTAGAGAAGGGTGATTGAGCTTGAGAGCTTGAGAGATAAGAGAGAGGAGACTTAGGAGAGGCTCCACCCGAAATACCCAACAGCCCGCCCCGGCGAGCTCTTGGTTTTACTTGTGAGTTCACTGTTTCTTCCTTCCCCACCAATTCCTCCACACATCTGCCTCTTCCCCTGCAGCCAAATCCCGAAATTCCCTCTCCCTGTTCCGCCCGACCTCCCTCACCCGCCCCCTGCCACCGGCTGTGCCAGCCGCCGGCTCCAGCCAGGCCAGCGAACCCCCTAGCCCATCCCGTCACTGCCCTGGGAAGATCCCGCCGCCCAATTCCCCTTGGATTTTGAAATTCCTGCCATCAAGTCTATCATTATTTATTTCCTAATGTAACTCCCTACATTTAGGAATAGATCTAATTGAAATCTCATCCTATTTGAATTCCAATTTCCATCTCCTTAATTGATTAAATTCCTGAATATTAAAATATGGATTTAATTAATTAATGGGGCCCACTACTTAAGAAAATTTCCCCTCTTTCTTTCTTTGCTTGGCCGGCCCCAACACCTCGCCGTTTCTCTCTCTTTTCCACCTAAGCGTCTATTAATTACCCCCTTAATTTCTCTCCCTAATGTCTGCCCCCCTTTTAATTTGATTGAGGGAGAGTTTAATGCTAAAATAACTTCTCCCTCCAAGCCTAAAAAAATCTGAAATTCAAATTTCATATTTTCTCCTTGTCCCTCCCTAGCTCTCGGCCCAACCCTCTTTCCTTGTTTTCTTCCCGCCTTGCCTCAATGTTGAATGGCGGATCCGGAGCTTGAGTGGGGATTAGTCTTCCACGCCGACAGAAGCATTGATATCCCACGCTCTCCTTGCTTTGACGTAGGATTTGAAGACGACGCCACAATCGAAGAGTACTAGGAGCGAGTCGTCCCGATTCTCGCAAGTATCTTCGACCGACAGTTTCTTGATTCCACTTGGACGATCATCGGACGCCATCCACCATCACCTTCTCCGGCGACCACCTCTCCGGTAACGAAGTCTTTCGTCTCTTTTTCCGTAGTGGTGCTCTCCATCTTCGCGTGGCTCTTTCTTCTCCGCTAAAACCCAAGAGTGAACGAGTGAGAGGTTGCTCAAGGTTAAATTCTTCCTTATTAATTGTGGGATTATTGTTATGAGCAATTAAGTATATCTTTTATTTTTGGATTGTTATGAATTGTTGGGTTATCTCAAAGCAACTCTTCCCCTAAGCGAGTTAATTACCTAGAATAATTTATTCCTCTATTTTGTTGGTAATAAATTTGTATCGGCAAGTTTTAATTAATTCTTGTTTTAATTTCCGCACTCAATTCCTCCGTGGTCTCACATCAGGGATAGTTCAAAAGATTAGAATAAATTTCAGGTGCCATATCAATTACCATACAAACAATAACATGTAAGTGATTCAATTGCCATGTTTCTTTGAGGGATGAAGCAATTATCATAATGACTAAGATTTGAGTGTCACGTTAGCATTAGAATTGATATGGTAAATTCTTCACGCTATGTATTTACATTGACAAAAAGACCAAAATGATTATTTGATTGTTTATGGAAGATCAAAATAGTCTCCAACTATATTTAAAGATTATTTTAGTTCCTAAACTTTTAAAGAGGAATCAAAATAGTCTCACGGATGATTATACTATGGGACTATTTTCATTTATTTTTAAAGGTTTGAGGGATCAAAATGATCATTTAATATATTTGGGGACAATTATTGTACTTCATAAAAATCTAATGGGATCATTTTGTTTATTTTCTATATTTACATCTATTTAAGGCTCCAGCACCATGATTACATCTCAATAGAAGGTTTCACCTTTTTTTAGCTTGCATGTAAGATGAACCTTGGTTAATCTCTCGGCTTTATTTGATTATATATCTATGTAGAAACGGTACCAAAGTCCCTAGTTGGAGCTGTAAATATTGCGCTGGCTTAATATGCTTGATGGCACTCTTTTTTTTTTCAGGGTTCATTGCTTCATTTGAATAAACTAATATATATTTTGGTCGGTTTTCATGTTTCTTCTCTTGATGTTGTTTAGTATGTTTCTTCAATAAAAAATTGATTTTGCATCGTGATAAAAATTGAAAATGACAATTAATGAAGCAAACCTGTGAACTAGGCCTACTATCGTGCAGCAAAGGCAGCCTTCTCATTAGAATTGCTGATGGAAGCTGAATCATTCTGTAATAGGGGTCTAGAACAATTTCCATCCAATGAGGAGGTGAAGCAGTTGTTTGTGCAGATTGATTCACGAAAGAAAGAGTATGAGCATCACAAAACTCAACTTTCCAAAGTTGTGGAGACAGCCAAGGTTAGTAATTTAATAAAAACATAATTTTTTTGAGTTGCTTGTTTAATATATATTCTAAATGAGAAATATACAGGAACTAGCCTCTGCTTTTAAGAGTAGAGGATTGAAGCTTGGAAGGACTATGTATCAAGAACTTACCGGAGTGAAAAAACCGATCTTGGATAAAAACGGCATCCTTCACTGGCCACTTCTTCTTCTTTATCCAGAAACTATGTCAAGTGATTTCATTGAAGAATTCTGCGAGACTGATAGATTTTCAGCTCACCTTGATCTAATATCCTTTTTTGGTGATTTCAGTTCGGGTGTCATTAAATATTGTTATTATATTGATATCTTGAACTTTTGTAGTTTCCTTAATTTTCAAACATGTATTCAGACAGTTATTCAACACTGCCATGGGACAAGGAGAATGCTTACACCCGTGAAGATATTGAATTGTACTATCAGGTTTTATTCAGTTCTATGAAGATATTTCCTCTAAAATTTGAAAGTAAAAGTGCAGTAGAATTGTGTTGGCAAAACTGAAGTTCTTTTAGATTTTATGAGCATATCACTTTTGTTTAGATGTGTATATCTTTTGTTAAGTAACATTCATTTACAATTAGCATACTGATATGTTCACTTAATGTATCTAACCTTTTCAGAAGAAAGTTCTTACAGTTCTTAGCAATTATGTCCTCTTTCATGTTGATGGTATATATGATATGTTCCTCATTGGAAAGTGTTTATATTAGAGATATATGATTTGATAGTCTCATAATTTCGGATGTTATTCTCCTTTTATGTGTTCCCTTCTTTGCATTCTATTGCATAGTTATTTATAGGTTCAGCATATATGGTCAATGACACCCATAAATTCCTTTCTTCTCAACTTGGTATTAAAGCAAAAACAAAAAACAAAAAAAACCCAGCTTCCCTCCTGATTGATCCGCTTTCTACATGCCTGCTTCGCTTGCATCCCACCCCATTGTCACTTGTGTTGTCACTCCCCCACGCATTACATGCTTGCCCCACCCGCCCGCATGTTGTCGCTTGCATGCTTGTTGTTGTTTGTGGGTTGGCGGATGCACCCATAACTATGTCCACGTGGGATTTGTGGATTGGTGAAGGCACGTAGAGCTGCGTCCATCATCCACGCCTACTAATTTTTCTATGAAGCGTGATGTGGTGGCGTTTAAAAATCCGTAATTATTTTGCTGCCTGTCTTAGTTAGTAGAGATCATTGAAGTTGCTGGCAAGAGCTTGAGATTGAATCCTGCCTATATAAAATTTGTGATTCGATGTTTGACATTAAAAATAGTAATTTTCAGCTTTAGGGACTCATTCCTGGTTGGTAATTGCGCTAAATGTATGGATTGCAATTTTAGTGGAGTTTCTAGTGAGTTTGATGATGATTGGCGGGCCTATGTTTACGATGACCCAAACCACGGGACTTCTAACCTTTTTCCCCTTCTAATAGTTATATATTCACCGTTTCAAGCTGAATTTCTTGTTGCTCTAGAGTACATGTGATTAGAAAGTATAATCCGGTAAACTGATCTGCTAACTCTGCAGGCTAATACGGGAGTTGTACTCTCAAAGAAAAAAGTGCTCGAGTATCTTCTACAGGGGACTGTCGCTTCACATTCAGAATGTGACTATGATGAGGATAAGGATGAAGTCGATCACACTGAAATTCCAAGCTCATCAAGTATTACTCTATAATACATTTTAGTTATTTTCTGTGTATCTTTCATCAATATTGTTGCTCTCTTCCCGGTTTCTGCTTTATATTCACTAGATTAGCGGCCAAATAGGCCAATCGGGCTGTTCACATGGAAACAATATTTCGAGTGCTCAGATTTTGCATCCTCTTGTAGAAAAGCTGGTGTGCACCTGTACATCTTAGGAAAATTGTATTTTCAAAATATTTTGCTAAAATAAAGGCATTAAAAGTATAATTTCTTCAATTCTGTTACTTTTTCTCGTCTTCTATCATTTAAGTGTCTTATTGTGGTGCTCCTCACCTATTTCTATTTTCGGAATATACAGTGATGAAAAACGAACTTTGCTTTATTTTTCTCCTTTTTGGAATTTTCACTGGTTTTTGGAAATTCTAAAAACTAATGTTTACATCTTGATTTATGAATTCATGTTATATCTTTGTTATTACTTTATTATGTTATTTTTTGTTTCTAATGTTTATATATGACCAGATAATTCCCTTTAACTCCAAAGCCATAGAAATTGCCTTAACCAGCAAATTTTAAACTTCGTTGACAAGACCGAAATTGAGTTTGAATACCCTGGACTAATCCATATGGTAATTATTTTAAATAAGAGAGCTTGGATTCACATTAATAGCAAATATAATTATTCCTCGGGAGATTGATGAAATTTATCTTAATAAAAATGTGATCTGTTTGGTTGTGACTTAGTTTTTTATCACTGTTAACTGGAAGTCTTTAAATCACGTCTCTCATCCTTCTTAATTTTCATTTTTTTTTCAATCTATTAGCTATTTGTTGTAGAAAGCAATGACATTGTTCCTAGCATCTTCTTTCCTTCATACTTTATTCCTTTTCATCTTCTTTAATTTGACCATTTTATTTTCAGTCCTTGTGTAACAGAAATGATCAGTTCTGTGGAGACAAGAACCTTCCTAGTCTGTCTTTCCATTCAAAATTTTACTAATATTTTCTTTCAATAACTTTTGGAGGTTATAATTATAATATGGTTGAAGAATCCATTGTACCAAATGATTTTGTTTCCGATTCATGAAAAGTAATCCAATGCTAGAAATACACTTAGAAAGAAGGTTTATTAAAACATTCTGCAATGTGAAAACATTTTATTGCTGATTAATTTTTGCTGCTATGGTTTTATCTTATCTTCTTATCTTATGTTGGCATTGTTTGTTACACTCTAAAGTCTAAATTGGAAGAATTCTAATCTTTTTAACTTTTAATCATAAAATTTAAATACCAGAGCTGTCTAATTTTTTAAAATAATAAAAATATTCATAATATTCATATTTATCAATAGTATTCTTATCATAGTATTCTTAATCAATAATATTCATAATAACTTTTAATCAATAGTATTCTTGCCAAAAAATATTCATAATATTCATATTAATCATATATAAAATGTTACATGGTAGAAATTCAGTAAATCAGGAGAAATATATATATATATATATATATATATAGAGAGAGAGAGAGAGAGAGAGAGAATTTAAATTAGTAGAAACAAAATCATTGAAAAAAGGTGAGTATTAGGGTACTTAATATGATCAAAAAAAATTTCTGATTGAAACAAATGACGAAAACAACTAAATTTGGCTTTCTCTCTCTTCCCTTTCTCCTCTTGCTCTCCCTTTCCTTCTCATTCTTGCTCGGTAAGCTGCGGTTGAGGGGAGTGGATTTGGGTTTAGGATTTAATATATATAAAAACACTATTAGTGGCCTAGTGCTGTAGCGGTCAGATCCAATGTTGCAGCGTCACATGTTGAATCCATATTTACTATAGAATAGAGATTCCAGCGCCATGATGCTCATTTCTGGCACCGTAGCGCTGAAGGTCACAATGCCACAACGTTCTAGTTTATAAAGAAAATTCAGATTTTTCATATCTTACATTTAAAAATAATTTTCATATCATCAGATTGTTACACTGTTCCTCGTGTCTTCTAGAGTATTTCATTGCATCGCCCTAAGTGCGTCTTGTATGGACAAACTTTGTAGAGTTATGGAAAGATTTGTACAAAACAGATCCAAACCTTGGTTATGGACATTTTATCATGAAACATGAGGTTCAATACATGTAATTCTGACTACCCTGTAGCTCTTTTAGATTGCTTTTTGTTTTTCTTCTTCATCATATTCATAATCACTCTTATCCAAAATATTAGAGGCCTGCTTATAAATATTAATTCTTCATTCTTCCTCTTGACTGTTGCAGCTCTTGATTTTTTTTTTTTGTTGTTGCTTATTATTGGGAAAGACTAGTTTGGTGCCTAATTTACATATCATGGCCAGGTTCTGGTAAGTGGATAAAGGTGAATGAGAAGAAGACACTTATTGATATTCTAAAGCAGTCAGATTACATAATCCCTGCAATACCAGGTATATTTTTTCCTTTGCTGTTAAAATCAAATTATGTCAGTTTAACCATTTCATTTTATCTATGAGAGATTTATGATTTCAAAGTATCATTTTGCTCCTTTTTTTCTTTTCTTCTGCAGTTTTCTTTGTTATTTCAAAACGATCAAGCTTGTATAAGGAGTTCAGAGCTGGCAACTGGTCTCATCCTTAAATCTTCTTCTCTGTAATGGAGCCTGTAAGTCATGGCAGCTTCTGTGCTTGATGATAGAATGTGGACTACTGCAAATTAAGGCTTCGTTTGGGACGACATTCCTACTGCTTCTTAAAACAATTTTTTAGCACAAAAATTTAATTTTTGTTCTTAAATTTTTGTACTAAAAAATTGTTTTAAGTAGTAGTAAAAAAACCGTCTCAAACGAAGCCTAAGTTATTGCCAAAAGTAGAAGGTTAACTTTAGCATAAAGTTTTTTTTTTTGTTGAAATTGTTCAGTTAGATTGTTATGAGCATAAATTATTAAAATTATGAAATTTGAGGCTTTTTCTGCTAATATGTGAGATTTGGATGTGAATTTGTAAAATTGTGGATTTGGGGGTTTTTCTCATAGACAGGCCATTCGAATTTGAATGGAAAAGCGTTACTTTTTTGATTTAATATATGTAGCTTACAATCAATAAATTCTAAGCTCTCTGATACATTATAGTTGTTGTGTTTGATAAGGCAGTATGAAAATTGTCCTAAATGAACCTAAACAAAACTTAAATTTTAGTTAAATCTCAATTCTAATTTGAGCTGAATATGATACAAATATTTTATTTATATAATAACCAATTTATTTATATACTAATAAATTAATAAATCAATAAAATTGTAAATTAATAATAAATAATTTAAAATTATATTTGAATGTATTTATATTTATTTATTTGATTCATGGCAATAACACAATTAAATATATTAAAGAAGGTAAATATGAATATTTAAATGATAGATATGTAAATAAAAAAATATACTATTGTATATACTTATATCGTCCTCTATTAGTATATATTTATAATATATAATAAAAATTTTAGAGTGTGAATAAAAAAATTAAAATTAAAAGCATTTACTTGTCAAATGTAAATCCCCTTGAAGAAGAAACCTACTAGGCTACTACACCCCCGCTATTTCCAAACCCGCCAGAATAAATAGCTCGCACTCGATCAAAATCAGCAGCACTCACAGTCCAGACATGGCCCGGCTGCGCCGCCGGCAGCTCACCGATCTCCTCGCATTTCTCCTCCACCATCGCTGCCTCCCGCAGCTTTCCCTCCTTCCACAAGCTCTTCACCAGAATCCCCTTCGTCCCTTGACTGAGCAGCAATCCCGAACTAAGCATTTCGTCGAACACCCTCAACGCAAGCACCGCCCTCTCGTGTTTGCAGTAAGCCCTGATCAGCACCTGATACATAAACGCATCTGGCTTCAGCCCACACTGCTTCGCCGTCCCAAACAGCCTGTGTACGCTCTTCAGATCGCCTTCACCTGCAAAATATTCCATCAAGCCCGAAAACGTCTGGATGTCGAGAAGAATGCCTTCCATCATCATCTCCTCCAGTAGAGCCAAGGCGTCGTGACCTTTCCCTGACTTGACGACGGTGCGGAGCAGAGATGAGCTTAGGAGCATGAGGTTGAGACGTGAAAGAGGGCCGCAGATGGAGGCGGCACTGCGGTAGATTCTGATGGCGGCGTTGGCGTTTTTCGAAAGACCGTAGAAGTCGATGAGGAGACGGACGGTGGCGAAAGGGAGGAGGATACCCTCCGATTGGAGCTTGGTAAGGAGGCGGTCGACGAGTTCGACGTGGCCATCGCGGGCGAGGATGGAGATCATCCGGGAAACAGTATGGCGGTCGTGAGCGAATCCGCCGGGCTGGTAAGCGACCCAACAGAAAAACTCCCACGCCGTTTTCGCCGTGCGGAACGATCTCAGCAGCTTGCAGACGAGCCGAGTGGACCAGATGAAGCCAGCGGCCTGCAGGAGAGAGACGTCGCCTGGATCCCAGCCCTCTAGAGCTCTTGCGAGGGCGGCGGGATCAATCCATGGCTTTAGCTTAACACGCTCATCATCTTCCTCTTCTTCTGTTTCCTCTTCGTGGTCTTCTTCTTTAGCACAATCCAAGGCGTAACCAATTCTTTGATCTGGGGACAGTTCTCCGACAAACTCCTCTGTCTGGTTAACATATCCAGCGGCGCGAAGCTTAGCAATGGCGGCAAGCATTTGGCGGCCTGGGAGGACGCCATCGGAGTTCATCTCTTTGACAAGTTTCAATAGGCGGTCGAATTGGCCAGAGGAGGAGAAGGCTTCGGCGAGAACGTTATACTGCTTACAGGTGCGACGAACGCGCATCGACGGAAGGAGGTGGAAGACCTCCACGGCGGCATCTGTATTGTTAGCTCGTACTAAATGATCGATGATGACGGTGTATGTTCGCGAGTTGGGGATAGCGCCGTCTGCAAGCATTTGGGAGAAGGTGGAGACGGCGGACGAGTGGGCGCCGGCGGAGGCGTGGAGGCCAATGATGAGGTTGTAGGATTCGGTGCATGGGTGGGTCCGATGATGCCTGCGGCGGGAATTAGGATCGGAGCGGAGAGAGGAGAAGGTTTCGAGGGCGGACGAGAGATCGCCAGCTGCGGCGAGGAGGCGAAGGCGGTGAAGGGGCGAGAGACGGAGGTCGGGGAGGATGAATAGGAGGTTGGGGAGGCGGCGGGAGAGCGAGTGAAGGAGGGACGGGTGAGGAAAAGGAGAGAAGGAGGGTAGGGAGAGCAGGGAGCGGAAGAGTGAAAGGGCAGATTCTGGCGAAGAAGCGGAGCGAAGGGCGCGAGCGGCGACGAAGGAGTCGAGGAGTGGGGAGGAAGGGAGGGGGAAAGGGGAGGATGGGTCGTGGGAGTGGAGGCGGTTGTGTGAAATTATATTTATATTATTTTTTAAAAATGATTTACAAACCTATCATAAATTTTTTATATATATATTTATGTATTTAATTTACTAATATTTTAATATAAAAATTATTATGAGTGATATTTTTTATGTAATTTATATATTTACTTTTGATTCAACACCAAAAGCAGTTAATTACTCTTGTTATATTGCCTTTGCGTAAGTTTGATCATACTGTGCAGACACTAGGCGTCATAGATGAGATGAATCAGGATATGTCATATACATTCTGATTTGCTTCTAAACGATCCAGTGTCTGCACAGAATAATTTCTCGATTAAAATTATGGAGAATGTTGACATGTTAATGGAGATCGTCTACATATTTTTTGTTCTCTTCTACACCAAGGGCTCTAAGTAGAAGGGGAACAACATTTAGGGAGGAATGCAATGGAAGATGTTTACAGGTATGTTATGGGAATTTTTCCAAATAGAATTGCTCGATATTGGGAGGTTTCTCAGGTCTTATAAGTGTTTGACAAATGGTTCAAACTATTCTTCGGCTATTGGTATGGGTTATATGTTCATTTGAGAGTGACACTTTGGTTGTAGAAGTTGCATCATAAAGAAAAATATTAAATTTGATTTACAAGTTTTCATAATAGCTAATGTTCCATTACTTAAGTAGAAATATTGGTATGTCGCCATATGATCCTCTTTATTTACATAGGATTAATCCCACAACAGACACAATTTTATCTAAACTATAAGTAATATACAAAATTTTTTCTTAAATTCATTTGCAATTATATATATATATCATAGAAAACGTACCATCACACTTAAAATCTAAATTCTACAATTAGGTGGGAACTTATTGTAATTCTCCGCTTACAATTTCGTTTGCGACGACTTTCTTATTGTTTCATAAAGCAATTTTTTAATACAATTTTTTTATTTTTTTACTAAAAAATTGCTTTAAGAATTAATAAAAAAGCCGTCCCAAACGAAGCCAAAATTCTACTCTTGAACTTCACCTCTGGTGATCTTGAATATGTAGCTATGTTCAAGATATGCATATGCAGTTTGAGTTATTCTGTGCCTTGCCCTTCTTTTCCAGGAACAAAAAAAAAACATATGAGATTCAAGAATCAGAAAAACCTTTCATATTATTTTTACTACAACAGTTCTGAATCAGGAGCCTATAATACAGCTTGTGCATCATTAGACCTCAAAGAAGAAAATCTGAGCACCATATGGAAGCTAAGGAGAAGCAGTGCCAACGTAGGAAAACAAGGGAATAACACTAATATCTGCCTTCCCCAAACATTCAAGCCTTCTTCCCTAAAGCCAAGCTTATCCTCATAGCCCTGCCTTCCAAATCCTACAGAGGCAACAAACATAATTACTTATGTTACAATATAATAACTTATTTTCAAGTGAACTACTTTATTCATATGCAGAATATCTTATGCCGGCATGAATTTTTTTTTTTTTTTAACGGGGATATCTATCCGCTGCCACTCCAAATGAAGCTCTTGGCAGCATAACTAATCCTTCGGTGGAACCTAATGAGATCATCCACCAACATCGGACCCACACTTGCTTGTGATACTATAGATAAGAGTAACTATGTATCCCAAATAAAACAGCTCTTGATGTAGTACCAATATAAACTTAGATCAATTTATAGATTATGTCACTCTTAATCCTAAAATGAGATAATCCATCAATCTAAATTGTAGACTTTCTAACAAGGTGCTAGTTAAGAAGAATCCCAGAAAACCTACCACTTCATTAAGGGCTTCCTTGGCAGCTTCCATCTCTTCCTTGGTAGAGTAGCAGACAAAGCCGTAGCCACGAGATTGGCCGGTCTCGCCGTCATAGAGAACTCGAGCACCGACCAAGTTGCCATACTCTTGGAACACCTGTGTCAGAGCCTCAGAAGTAACTGACCATGAGAGATTGCCTACAAAGAGCTTGAACTCACTCTCCGGATATAGAGGTGTTTTAGGCTTCGGTTTGTTTGAAAAGTTAACCCTTAATGTTCGACCACCATATTGCTGAAATTAGTGAAAAATAATCTTGTTTAAGAGAACTCATACAAAAGCAATGCCAAGGCAAATAATTCAATAATCTTGTTTTCTGATGGTAAGCAAGGGAAGGAATACTCAACACTTCCATCAAGATTGGAGATGACAGCTTCACAATCTTCCACAGTACTCATAGTGGCAAATGCAAAACCTCTGCTCCTTCCTGTGTCTCTGTCATATAGCACCTGAAAAATAGCAAGAATAACTAATTCTTCAACATTTTATGATAACATTGCTGCATAAATATATTCATTTCATTCATCTCAGTATTTTTATACTAAATATGGTACCTTTTATCAAGAGGTGTCTATTATAAGAGAGATTATTCTGTGCGGACACCGGACGGTTAACCATCCGGTTACGCTTAGTACATAGAACGGTACTGAGCGCTGTATATTTTTGGGATGACGTGATGAATTTTTATTGGTCTTCGAATCACATCCGGACTCCACACCTATTATTTATTTTTTAGTTTTACTTTTTTCTATAAACATATACTACTTTTTGCAGACATCATTACTGTTGCAATCCTTTTATTTCCTAACTTTCTCTCCCTTAATCAGGATTACAAAATTACAACAGATTATTACTAAAAAATAATACAAATTAATCAAAGAAGGAAAAAATAAAACTATGAACGGTAAAACTAGATCACAGATTAGTGATTTATTCTTACCTCAACCATCTCAGGGCTTGCATATTCCTGTATTATTCCAGCCAGCTGCGCACTATCACAATGGTAAGGCAGATTCCCAAAATAAAGCTTGGTGTTCTCCATAGCTTCCCCTTCTTCTTTCCCTTCCTCTTCCTCAGCCTGGATCATCTGTTCCTTCTCCACAGCAGCCGCTTCCTCTTGTGCCACGGCTGCCGCAATCCTAGGAAGGTTTCTTCCATGGGAAACAGCACTGACTGAAAGCTGTTCGATGAAATGGCTGAGAGACGGAAACGGAGGAGTTCGGGTGGCTATGGCTTTGACGAAGAAGTCGTAGCGAAGGTGCCGGCTAGCTATGGTGGTGGGGAAGCATGAACCCACTGCTGCGGCAGCGGCGGCATTCATTTTTGCCGGAGTTTGGTGGCGGCGTCGCCGGCGGTGAAGGTGGTTGGAGGAAGAGATGAAATTGGGGATAGTGGAGGGGGAGGCTCCAGTTTCAATGAAAATAGGAGTTTCGACGTGGAGAGGCTCTCATCCAATGGAGGAGGAGAAATGGATAAGGTGCTCGGATTTATGATTCATGAAGAGGTATATTTTGAAAATCAAATTATTAATTAATAAAAATTAAAAAATATCAAAATTTTGATACCAAATTCTATTTATATCAATATCACGTTTCGTTAGTTAGCAAACATTTCAATAATTAAAAAAAATAAACAAGTCAATGCTTTAATTTTCTTAAACTTTATAATATAATATAATTTCGCACTATTTTAATGAATATTTTAATATAAGTATCTCAATATATAAGGATTATTTTATTAATAAAAAAATTATTTAGTTAACATAGCATTCCATATTTCCATTTAGATTAATATTATTTAACAACATGATAATATACACTAATAAAAATTTTAAAAATAAAAAAGTATTGTATACTATTCTTTGATAAAAAGACAAAATTATTAATTTTATTCTTATAAATAATTCTAATCATTAATTATCTTAGTAAAAAAGTTTAGAAATTACTTTTATATAAGAATTGTGTAGATACTATTATTAGTTATTTTTGCTCATTTTATTAAATTAATCAGGATTTACCCCAAAGAAATCATGACGAAGCTGCTTTATAGCCATAATCTGTAGTAAAAATAATGCTAATTAGTGATAGCTAATGTTATGCAAGAAGCATACATTTTAAACAAAAAATTAAATAGTAACAGTTTTATTTGAAGCTTTGTCCTAACTATTTGATGTTACATTGATTTATTATTGCTTAGATTAGGCTTTGTTTGAGATGAATTTTTTAATGATTCTTAAAGCAACTTTTTAGTACAAAAATTAAAAATTTTATGCTAGAAAACTGCTTTAAGTAGCAGTAAAAAAGCAATCCCAAACGAAACCTTACACTTGGTTTGGGATGACTTTTTTACTGTTTCTTAAAGCAACCTTAGTACCAAGCCACCAAGGAGTGATTTCATTACTTGAGCATTGATTACGAGCTTTTGACTAAAACTTAACTTGAGGACTACAATATTACAAGAGTATAAATAACCAATAGATTATATGACGAAGTTGGTATAGGGTGAGAGCCGTTCGTACAATTGTGGCTAACAAGGGTCAATCGGACAAAGGTTTGACATACACAATCGGGTAGCAAAGTTCCAACAACAATAGCTCAATGATGATGGTTTGACGCCGATGGTCGGGCAACGGTTAAATGGTGAGGTGGTAGTTCGATGACGTTGGCTAGTTGATGAAGGTTGAAGTAAAATGAATGCAATGTGAAGCCCAAAAATGTTGGTGGATAATGGCCAGTGGCAGTATTTGCCAGCAAGGGTGGTTGTTAGTAAGTTGTGGTGGTTGGCAGCCATTGGTGGCAAACTGTAATAGCGGTTGATGGTGGTTGCTAACAGTGCCAAGGACGAGCGGCCAATGACGGTCACACTAGTCGGTTATATTGGCAGGCAGTGGACGACATAGCAGGTGGTGGCTGGAAACAACAACAACAGAGAATTTACAATATATTTGAAAATAAGACAAATCTAATGGTTAAAAAAACACCAAAATCAAGCTAGAGGTGCATTCTAAATACGTCAAAATTTTATTATGCATTTCTTTTGCTTTAGATCAAACATCAATATTTTCAAAACTTTAACATTTGAAATATTTTACATCCATTTTACTTTAAAGTTCAAACCAAGCAGCCCTTAAATTTAATTAAAATAATATCATCTTTAATATATATTACTTAAATACTTCCTCTAATATAATCATGTATCAATTTATTATTTCTAAACTTGTCACATGTCCATAGTAACATTCTCATTTATATTAGTTAACTTAGTTATCAATGACCTTTTAACAACAAAACATTTGAATCCATATAACATCACCAACCCAATCATTGTTTTATAATATATACTTTTAAGCCCTATAAATATAATATTATCATACAAATTTAAGGCATTTCTTCATTTTAATCATCTAGCCTTAATTCTAAAAGTTATATCATCTATAATTTTATTTTGTTGTATAATATTTCCAAGTTATTTAAATCTATCACACTTATATATATATCACATACCAAGTTTTTTTTTTTTTAATAATGTAATGCATTTATCTTCTAAATAAAATTTATAAAACTCCTCATGATAGTTTGAATATTTTGCTTAGCCTCATTTAATTTCTCATTAAAATTAAGTAAAGTTCTCGACTTAGAACTCCTTTAATGCTTCTACTTAATGCATCAAAGGAAACTTCAAAATCCTAATTAAACTTTGGCAATTTAAACATGGGTGCATTCATAAGCATTTTCTTAATGCAAAAGAATGATCAGCTGATTTTGTCTAAGTAAACTATGCCTTTTTTGGGCACTTGGTCATTGGAGCCATTACATTACTTAATAAGTGAAAGGTCAAAGAACATTGTTCGTGATTACTTTGAAAGTATTTGATGTAATTTTCAATAAATAGGGAATCATCAATCATTTATACAATTCATCTTTAACTTAAAAAAAAAGGTTTTTATTCATCTTTCTCTTACATTCTTACATTATGAAACCACTTAAAGTCATGTTTCTAAAAGATAACTATTCTAACCATCATTTCTAATATATCATACAACCTAAGCATTGAAAATTGATATTGGATGATAATGTTGTTGATCATTTGATACGCCTAGATCGGTCTAGCCGGCCCAGCACTTGGGCCGACTCATCACATACAGAAAGCGGAAGCCTATAGTGCCGCAAGCTCCCAATCTTGCCCCGTTGGGGGTGGGCTCCACTGCCTAGGGAAGAGAGAAGGGGGTTGTTTAGTCCTTTTGTGTTATTTTTATATTTTTCTTTAAAAGAACTTCTTGAATATTGCTGAATTTTCTATATGGTGCTTGGCGTCTTGGGTTCTAGCGACGTCTAGAGATTTGGAGAGATGATCCTCCTCTCGAATAGAGGATCACTTCTATCTTGTTACTTTCCTTCCATTTCCATCATTTCTAAAAGATAATTACTGTTTTTCTTGGTTTGGAGGGAGATTTTGGGTGATTTTTGCTGTTTTCTTCCGATATCGATAGGTTTCACGTGAATTCTTCAAGCATTACCTATCATCATTCTACTCTCAAGACACATTTGTCAATTATTATCCTTTGTTTAGGTAATATAGGACCCGAATAAAGACTCATGTTTTCCATAATATGTCTTTTCTTTAACAAACAATCTACATATTAAGTTCAATATGTTTAGTTGAATTCATTTTATAATATGTCAAATTAGACGACGATGGTCTTAAGAATCAAATCAATAGTGGATTGTAAGCTCAGATGTTGACTAATTGTCATTGGGAAGATTATTTGGACATATGTCTTACAAATTAGGCAATTCTTTAGTAATATTTTCATATGTAATCACACTCTAAGGCACCTTTTTCAATTTCATAGCCACCCAATCATAAATTAATCCTAGCTACGTTATGACTCTTTTTGATAAGAATGTTCGTTCAAAATATGCCGCTATTATTTTATTTCATTTGAGGCATTAGATTCTTTTGCAACTAATATAGAACTATTCTTAGACTTAGCAGGCTTCAAAATTATTTTGCTTCCATTATTTTTAATGTATATGCATTAGACTTTCCGAACTAAGTCACATCTAAGTAATAAATCACGATTTACCCAAAATGAGATGACATACATCCATAAACAAATCATAATACCAAAAGTTATCATTAATTATACGTAACAATTTGAATGGGTAAAAATTAATTCTTTGTTATATAAATTATAGTTCTGTCTATCTGTTCATGTTTCAAATTCATATATATGGCCAATAATAATTTTTTTTTTAGTTAAAACCCTCAAAGGGGCCTACGTGTTAATATCAAAAAAGCGGTTACATGATCCTTAAAAGGAACCACTAGCTCCCTACTGCTCGAACGAGCTACAATCAAAAAGTAAAGAAAAAGACCTATACTACTCCCACTATTTATATTAGGTTTTAAAAGTATATCATCATGCTTGAAATATTGAACTTTTATAATCAAACTAAGTTTTATGATTAGCAATGATACATTGCATGATTTTTAATGAGTTTTCGATTTAAGATTCTTTTGAATTACCTAACTATATCAAGCGAATTAATGAATGTCCTCCCTTCATTATTTTAATTATCATTGTTGAGTCCTGGAATATTCGCGGCGGTAGAGAAATATATAGTTTAACGTCTTAGCGTTGTACGAAGATCCAGCACACAATCAGATAAGTGAGAGGGTGTAGCGTTCATAAGAGACACCAAAGTTTTTACGTGGAAAACCCCTGAAAAAGGGGGAAAAACCACGGGGCCTGGCCCGGTTTGAATGAATCCACTAGTATTTGTAGTCGGCAGGAGACCGTAGTCGGCAGGAGACCGTAGTCTGCCGGAGACCGTAGTCGGCCGGAGATCGTAGTCGGCCGGAGACCATAGTCGGCAGGAGACCGTAGTCGGCCGGAGACCATAGTCGGCAAGAGACCGTAGTCGGCCGGAGACCGTTGTTTGGTGATGGAGGTCGGACGGACCGTATTAGGCGACAGTGGTCAGAAGGACCGTAGACGGTAGGAGATAAGGAGTCAGGTGTTAGTCCCAGTGTCACTTGGAGATCGGATGTTGATGGTCTGGCCTTGAGTAGGACGTCGGTCTTAAGCAGGACGTCAAGGTCTTTAGCAGGACGTCGGTCTTCAGCAGGACGTCGGGACTTAACGTCGGGCCTTGAACGAGACGTCGGGTCTTTGGCAGGAAGTAGGGACTGAGTGTCAAGCCTTGAACAAGACGTCGGGTCTTTGGCAGGATTGTAGGTACTGAGTGTCGGGCCTCTGAAACAAGACGTCGGGTCTTTAGCAGGACGCCGGGGATAAACGTCGGGCCTTAAGGTGGTGGTTCGGCGAGGTTTTGTGGTGGTCCGGCGAGGTTCCTGCGGTGGTCCGACGAGATTCCTGCGGTGGTCCGGCGGTGATCTGGCTGGTCCGGCGGTGGTCCGGCGGCTGTCGAGGAGGAACTCCTTCCTTCTCTTCTCTCTTCTCTC